GAGATTACAGTGATTTAATTTGGAAGTAAGAAGAGAAAAAGCAGATGTGCTGGATAATATAAAGCAGGGGGACATGGTGAGAAGTCTAAGTACATACTTTGTCCATTCCCTTAAATAAGTATATGAGAAAATATTATTAAATTAAACACTAAGACATATATAAATAAAAGGGAATGAGTTAAACATCAAGTGCAATCTGCAGAACTCAGGATGTACTTGAGACAAAAAGTATAGGAATTTAAGAAAAGGTTAGACATGGGCAAGAAGAGTTTTGCTCTTACATTAGCTAGGATAAAATTATATGGACTAAGTGTTCTATGGATGGGCAGTAGAAAATAAGGACATTCCCCGCTTGTTCTTTTTCTGTTTTACCATTGACTTCAATGAGAGTAAAAATGTGCCTGTAGCACAGTATTAATCAGTCAGGGCTTTTGCTTTCTTTTGAATTTTCTGGAGATAGCATCTTGGCCTAGAGAAATGACTAGTAAGACGACAGTCTGAGCCACAACTTCAAAGCTATGGGCGATCTAAACTAGTGAGAAGGCCACATGAGTGGCCCTCCTTTGTCCACAGTTAGCCATGTGATTGCCAGTGGTGGGCAACCTGTGGCCCACAGCCCACTGGGATTCCACCTGCGACCCATGCACACTGTCTCTGTTCCCTTCCCCCACGTTCCTGTCATGCACTGAGGCACTGGAGCACCACATTTCCATTTTGCAATTGTTCAGGCTCTGAGAGGGAGGGGCAAGGAGTGGGGCTGAAGCATAAATCAGTGAATTCATTGCACTCTGAGGCTGCATCTAGACTGGAAAGTTTTTCCGCAAAAGCAGCTGCTTTTGCGGAAAAACTTGCCAGCTGTCTACACTAGCCGCTTGAATTTCCGCAAGAACACTGACGATCTCATGTAAGATTGTCAGTGTTCTTGCGGAAATACTATGCTGCTCCCGTTCGGGCAAAAGCCCTCTTGTGCAAATGCTTTTGTGCAAGAGAGCCAGTGTAAACAACGTGGTGTTGTTTTGTGCAAAAAAGCCCTGATCGCGAAAATGGCAATCGGGGCTTTCTTGCACAAAACCGTGTCTAGATTGGCACGGACACTTTTCCGCAAGAAGTGCTTTTGTGGAAAAGCATCCGTGCCAATCTAGACGCTCTTTTCCACAAATGCTTTTAACAGAAAAACTTTTCTGTTAAAAGCATTTGTGGAAAATCATGCCAGTCTAGACGTAGCCTGACGGTGTGTCTACACTGCACCCGTAGCTCAAAATAAGCTACACAAATTGAGCAACACAAATTGCGTGGCTTATTTTGAGTCAATTTCAAAACAGCTTATTTTGTAATTTGGTGGTGTCTATTCAATGCTAAATTTCGAAATAACCCACTATTCTGAAACTTCCCTTACTCCTCGTGGAACAAGGGTTACAAGGACGTGGGAATAGCAAGTCTGTTATATTTTGAAATCATGGGCATGCTGTTAAGACACGGGATTTAGGGATAACTCCAGTACCCTGAAATAGCACCGCATTATAGACATAACCTGAAAATGCTGGGAGGGAGGGAGAGCAGTAGGAAGTGCGGTGCCCCAGTGTGCAAAAGGGGGGAGGGGCACACAGACAGGGAGCATGGGGCACTGGTGGTACCCCAATGAGCTACTTGCAACCTGTTGGGCTACAGGGTGCCCATCACTAGTGTACACACAAGTATTTGTAGGGATCTCACATGAACCCTGCTAGCCCAAGTCTGTAGACTGAGTCTGGGAGACTGAGGGCTGTGTAGACATACCCTAGGTTTCTGTTGCTCAGTGAATCACAGCAAAGTTACAGAGTTCAGGTTCACTGAGGATAAAAGTGAAGTAAATTCTGCCACTGGGCTTTGTGCCAGCACTAATGAGGAACTGGAGAGCAGTTAGCTCAGCTTCACTCTGGCAGGGCGCATTGCATCACACCTAAAGACTCTATTAAACAACATATATGAACTCATAGCCAGTGGTCCATGGATGCCCCAACTGGCATTGCTTTCTTCACAGCTGCTGGGTTAAAGCTCTATTCAGGAGCTCGGGGTTTGAAGTGTCTTCTTCTTTACCTGTGGCTGAAAACTGCATTTGGCAAGCAAGGTGACCAGCCTTCAAAAAATTCAGACAGTCCATAAAAAAAAAGAACTAAAGTGGGACCTGTCTATAAAATTCATAAAAACATTTCAAGATCAGTGAAAAATCCACCAAGCTTTGCAAGGAAGCAGAGGAGTCCCCCGTCCCCCGCCCCGCTTGGCTCCAGGGTGAACTCCATGCTACAGGGCAGCTCCAGGGAGTCTATCATTCCCAGGGCAGGGGCGGAGCAGGGAATTCTCCTGGAGGGGGCTGCTCTTCTCCACTGCTGGCTTTAAATTCTTCTTCGGCATCACTAGAATCAGTATAACAGCTGCTTTTGATGGGCATGTGTGCAGTGCACACTCCTGCTGGGCTGGTGGGGCTTACCAAGAGCAGCTCCTGGTCAGCAGTGAAGTGGGAGTGCTAAAGCAGACTTCCTGCCTCTCCTGCTGCACCCCAGAAGCAGCCAGCAGCAGGTTCCCAGCCAATGGGAGTGCAGAGCTAGTGCTCAGGGCCTGCTGCCAGCCACAGCGCAGTCTGTGGTGCCAAGACAGGCACGTAAGCCTGCCTGAGCACCCACTGGTCACCTGGTCACCCTGCAGCAAGGAGACCCATTCCCTGGCATTCCACAACCCAGTACTGGGTCACAACCTGTAGTGTGAAAACCACTGGCCTAGACCAGCCCTGACAGGCATTTAACCAATCTATTCCTAAAAGCCTCCATTGATGGGAATTCAACCACCTCCCTTGGAAACCTGTTCCGGATCTTAATTATGCTTACAGATAGGAAGCTTTTCATGATAGCTAACCGCAGTGTCATTTGCTGTAGATTAAGTCCATGACATCCTGTCCTACCTTCAGTGGATACAGAGAGCAAATGAGACAGTTATTTTTATAACAGCCAGTAACATATTTGAAGACTGTTATCAGGTTCCCCCCCACCTCTCAGCTCTCTTCTCAACACAAAACGCGACCATAATTGTTTTAACCTTTCCCCATAGGACAGGTTTTCTAAACCTTTTATCATTTCTGCAGAACTCCTCTGGACTCTCTCCAATGTATCCACATCTTTGCTAAAGAGTGGCACGCAGCCTCATCAGTGCCAAGTAGATCAAGACAATTACCTCTGGTGTCTAACATGTAACACTCCTCTCAATAACCCCCAAAAAGATGTTAGCCTTTACTTTGTGATCCACTACAACTCTCAGATCCTTTCAGCAGTACTACTGCATAGCCAGTTACTCCCTATTTTGTAGTTATGCATTTGAGTTTTTCTTCTTCAGTCAAGTACATTGTGTTTTCTTCATTGACTTTCATCTGGTTGATTTCCGACCAATTCTATTTTTTCAAGGTTGTTTTGAATTCTAATTCTAGTACTCCAAAGCACTTTGCAACTCCTTCCAGTTTGGTGTCATCTGCAAGTTACATACATTTACTTTCCACCCCATTAGTCATTAATGAAAATATTGACTAGTACTGGATCTAGGACAGACACCTGGTGGACCCCACTAAATGCACCTTCTCAGTTTATCAGCTAATCACTGACAACTGCTCTTTAAATATGGTTTTTCAAGGAGTGAACTAACCTTACAATAATTCCATCTAGACCACATTTCCCTAGTTTGCTTAAGAGAATGTCATGTGGGACTGCCAGAAGCCTTACTGAAATCAAGATAAGTCACATCTACTGCACCTCCCTCGTCCCCCCATTCACTAGCCCAGTAACCTGTCAAGGAAGGAAATTAGGTTGGTTTTCCATGATTTGCTCTTCCCATTCCCTTTGAGCCTGACAAGACAGTATGCCAAGACACTTTTCCCCATCTTGATGGGGTGAAATCTCTCTTCCCATCTCCTTCCTGGAATAGCCTCCCACAATCAAGGATGCCATAGCCTCCTGTTGGCACTGTCTGTGTAGCCAAGCATTCATCTCCAGTATGCATGCGTCCCTGCCTGGACCTGCACCCTTAAATAGGGTTGGATTCTTCTGTAAATAGAGGGAAATTGGACAAAATGCATTTCAACTCTGACAATTAAAAGAATTAGATCATTTCTGGATAATGCTCCTAATTCTTGGGTGTGTGTTGGGTTCATCATGTCTCCCAAATGACTGGGCCATGGCTAATGTTAGGGAGTGACTGTTCTTCTAACACTGATGTGCTTCTGCAGTTTAACTTAGTGTGTGAGGACTCCTGGAAGCTGGATCTCTTTCAGTCTTGTGTGAACGTTGGATTTTTTATTGGCTCCATAAGCATCGGCTACATAGCAGACAGGTACGTGGGGGATGAATCACTCACATTTTTAAACAATACTTGTGCTTAAGGGAGCAAATGAACACGCTGAAAAACTAATTTAAAAAGTCACTCCAGCACTTAGAATAGAGTAGTTTCTGGAAGTAGTTTCAAGTTTCTGTTATTCCTCTCCAGCTCATCTGATGAAATGAGTTTTGTTCACGAAAGCTCATGTTACTATATATATATTTTTGTTAGTGTACATTTATTGTTCAGGGCTGCAGAGATTTGACTGATGGCGTGTTTTTATCAAATAGCTAAACAAATAGTTCTCCATCAAATCAAACCAAAATGTCTTTCCATCATTTCACTAAATCCCGTTTCTTTTGGAAACATTTGCTTTTGAATATTAGTGGAGCGATTATGACATCAATGACAAGACAACTGCATGGCCAGTATGAAATATCTGAGCACCATAGCTGGGGAAGGATGACTGGAATGAGGCAAAAGTTAGTCACTAAACTGGATCCTCGGAGAAACTACTGTAGCATAGAAGAACAACTGCAGATCAATGTAGAATAAGTCAGACAGCCACCACAGGGTGTTTCCGAAGCACATTAACCAGGTCAGTGAGGGTTTGTGGTAAGAAAATGTGCAAACACTGGAGTGAAAGGAGTTTGCAAGTCAGACGCAACAAGATCATTGTAAAAGGAAATTGTTCATTGAGGGAACCACAATGCAATTCCTGCCTTCACTAAAAGCGGGGGAGGAAGAATCCTGTGGATAAAAGGAGATACAGTAAAACCTGTGTTATCCGGCATGCTCGGGGATTAGGGTGTTCCAATTATCTAAAAATCTGAAGGTCCCATCAACTTAGGAAAAACCAATGGACAATAATAGTAAAAGTCAAGTTTTTAATAGTAGTAGTTTTGAAGTGTGAGGCAGTTGGTCTCACATTTCTATTTTGAGTTAAAGATGATCAGTACTTCTTAAATAAAAAATTGTTAAGTCGATCATGGTAAGCCAAGCCAGGCCTGTGCCCCTGAAGATGTGACATTATAGTGGCTGGAGGCAATGCCAAATAAAGTTTTCTGGTTAACAGAGTGCCAGATAACAAAGGTTTCACTGTATAAGGACAGAGTCTCTAGCTGTCACCAATGCCTTTGGGTCACTCCACAGGCCAAAAGAGGGTTGAAACTCACCAGAGTTGCCCAGGTGGGGAATCTCTAGCAAGCATAGAGCTGGGATAGCTGGTTCCTCTGTGAACCTTTCCTTGCTGCAGCTATCAGTGCAGAAGGCAAGGTGTGAATGAGAGGGACCATGGATGGAGCATTCTGTGATCTGGCTATGCCCAATTGACACAAGACTGGATTTTCACATTCTCACATTTAATTTATATCTAAAAATGCACAATAGTGGTTTGGTCTTCTCCCCTGTCAATTATCATGTATATATATGTGCACATATAGAAAATAAGGAGGAAATTAACCAAAATGGTTGCAAGAGCTACAGGCATAAGCCAGACAT